TGATGGACTCCTTCCACCAAGGGGATGATCAAACGTTCAATGGTGAAGAGGAGCTCCTTGCCAAGGCCAAGATGGTGACCTTAGAGGGTGGACGTTCCTTCAAGGGTGAGGCTAAGTGATGGTGGGCGTGAAAGGTGGGGTCTTGGGCGATTAGGAGAAAGGTTGGGAGGATGGTGTCTTTGGGTGTTCTAGTTAGATTGAAAGTTCATATCGCATTATATGTTTATATCAAATTTTATTAAAATTGAACAACAACTTGAAGGTAATCAAAGTGTTCATATTTTATTATATTTTGAAATATATATATTACATCAATTTTGTTTTATAAGAATAAAGCATCAAATCATCTTGGATTAATATAAAATTTTGTATATATGATCTAAGAATAAAGAACTTTCATATGAATTTACAAAATTTACATTTAATATAAAGTTATTTAGCGGTGTAATACTTAATAAAAGTTACATATACATATATATGTAACTTTTTACTAAGTATTACACCTATATGTAACTTTTATTAAGTATTACACCGCTTAATAACTTTATATTAAACGTAAATTTTGTAAATTCAACCGTTAAATTGAAAGTTCTTTATTCTTGGATCACATATACAAAATTTTATATTATCCAAGATGATTATATATACATATATATATATGTATATGTATATATAACACCGATGTAACTTTTACTAAATATTACACTGCTTAATAATTTTATATTAAATTTTGTAAATTCATATGAAAGTTCTTTATTCTTAGATCATATATACAAAATTTTATATTAATCTAAGATGATTTGATACTTTATTCTTATAAAACAAAATTGACGTAATATATACATATCAAAATATAATAACATATGAACACTTTGATTACCTTCAAGTTGTTATTCAATCTTAACAAAATTTGATATAAACATATAAAACAATATAAACTTTCAATCTAACAGTTGGGTTTACAACTATATTTAATATAAAATTATTGAGCTGTGTAAATACTTAATAAAAGTTACACCTATATTATTATAACATTCCTATATTTAACCATTTCCTCTATAAAATATATATATATATATATATATATATATATATATATATATATATATATATATA